GTCACAGTAAAGGACTTCATTAAAATGTAGCTCAAAAATATTTTGAAGGCTAAATTTTTTCAACTTGGTTAATGTCAAACGTATAATACAGTGAAACGTCACTACAGTCAGTTATTTCCTGCACTTCATCTTATAACAAAATGAAGCTTGATATGTACACAAGCTTATGCATTCCCCTACTAAAAGAAAAGATGACAACATCTCTAAATAAACACCTCTGTGTTTATTTGAAACATCTAAGTTAGCCAGAAATCCTTTGCAATCATGAGCTGTGCTGATACCTTGACACAATGTACAGATTTACCTTGTCCATACTTACATGATCAGGTTTATCTTTAAGAAGCTCTTTTATCTTCTGAACAGCTGACGGGGTCTGAAAGACAGAACCACATACATCAATTTGAAATTTGTTTGTCTGCTTATTTGCAGTGAGTGCTTGCACATCTTAAAAGTGTGCAACATACTCAGCTGCACCATAAAACAATTCTATTCCAACACTGTGTACTCAAATTTTCTTAGTTCATGTTTGCCTTCTATCTGCAAAGTCCCCCTTCAGCATCAGCCACCTGTCGGCATTGTCTAGCCCGTGTTCTGCTTGAAGCTGATGCCTGATCTGAAGATACACACTCTGCCGTAAAAGAGATATCTGCTGCATCTAATCCATACAGAACATAATACCTCTTCACTCGTCTCCTCACCAACACTGCCAGCAAACAGATATCTCAACAATTGAAGCCCTTGATAGCAGGGTGTTGTTAGAATCATAGAATGGGTTGGGTTGGAAGGGACTTTAAAGATCATCTAGTTCCAATCCCCCTGCCATAGGCAGGGGCACCTTCCACTACAAGTTGCTCAGAGCCCCATCCATTCAGGCCTTGAACACTTCCAGGGATGGTGCACCCACAGCTTCTCTGGACAACCTGTTCCAGTGCCTCACCACCCTCACAGCAAAGCATTCCTTCCATATATCTAACCTAAATTTCCTCTCTTGCAGTCCGAACACATTACTCCTTGTCCTATCACTACAGTTCCTGC